GTACACTTTGTACAATGTCAATAAAGTTTTTTTCAAAAAGGCATTGGAGTAGTAAAGAATGGATTTCACTCGTGACATCCTTGTCCATCCAGTTTTCTCCTCCATCAACTGAACTTACCGGACCCATATTAGGTCTATGGGGCGCCAGATGTAAGTGGACATATGTGGGTTTACATCCGATTACCTCTGATCCATCATGATCAGGTCTGCCGAGACGCTTCTGTTTTTTTTTTTTGTCAGACCTACAAGGAGTCGGGGGTAATTGGATGTAAACAGATGCACATCTGCTTTAATAAGACTCCCTATAGAGTAAAGGTCCCCACACACCTTGCGATAATCGTGGGAAATCCCGCGATCGTACGATTATCGTAAGGTGTGTGGAAGCCATGTGACCTCTACTACTGTAAGGTCGCACAACTTTTAACTTACGAACATGTTCGAAATCCCGCCGAGCATCATACGATGTTCGGCGGCTGTGTAGCATGTTCGTACGATAAAAGCCAGATGGGCCGGTGTGTGCGCAAGCGCACACTGCCTGTTCAGCATTGCGGTCATCGGAAGCCCGCCCCTCAGGGAGCGCAGCTTGCGATCATCGCAAGTACAATCTGCCTGTCCAAAAGTCTTGCGATGGTTGTACGGTGTGTGCCCAGCATTACATTGGCCTTGAGATCTGCCTAAAATAAACTGACAGGTGGATCTAAACGGGCTGCCTCTGTGAAAGGGGCCTAAGGCAGTTCAGCGAGTAATGGTGGTCTGGAATGTTCAGTAGCCCATAGCAAAAAAAAACAAGACAAAACTCTCCACTTATGGCTCATTCACACTATAGCGAAGACTGGTACTTTTTCTATATGCTGGGAAACATAGAACACTTGATTTCTTTGTGCCCCGTTCACACGACACTGGATGGCACCCGAGGTCACTGCAGTGCAACACGCTGTACTGTTGTGTGGAGACTTTACTGGATCATACACTTTCTACACGGTCAATACAGTAAAATAAAAAGTAATAAAGGCACTGCTGCACACTGCTGTCACCTAGCCAAGCTCTAAATGCAGGGTAATCCTGAAATGACATGAGCGCTGTGGAGTAATACTCCAGATCCAGGTTGTGTAATGCTGCTGCCTAAAAGGGCAGATCCATGACAGTCTGAACTTTAAAAAAGTGGCATTAATGATGCTGTCAATCCTAAAAAATGGACATCTAGTGGTAGAAAACTAGTACCATGCAGTACAGTCCTGGATTGAAGGACTTCCCCAGCCCCATCAAGAGACCTGTTTCTAGATCGCCAATCTCAGATCCATTTGCTGCTTCATTGACTGAACTCAAAAGGAACCCAAAAAAACATGGACTTTTGCCAAGTAACTTTATTCTTATTCCAATTTTGTTTTGTTGTATCCAGATATTTCAGTAATATCTTTTGTGTAGTTTTCTGCACGGCTCTTTTTCCTTAAACCCCTTAGTGGCAGAGCTTCAGAAAATGGTTTAGTTCCTGGGGACCAAGTAATTTTGTTATGCGTTAGTTTCACCTACACATACATTATACCCTTTTTTAATGGACAAAAGTTTTAATTTGATGTGACATATGCAGACAAATTCTTGTTTTTTTATTATTTAAAAAAAACCAAACCTGTTCACATAATTTGTACAATATTAGTGTAGCCAACAGAAAAAATAATAATTCTCCCCCTAGCCCCTGCCCACTTTTTTCTTCTAAAAAACCCATTAAAGTTAAATTTTATGCTGCAGTCCTAGACAGCATGGCATGCCCAGGAGTACTGAAAGCAAAGGCCAGCAGAAAGTTGTGTCCATGATGGGCTGAGCTCAGAAGCAAGTAGTTCGGATAATACTGGACATTCAGTTTAAGAGAATAAATGTGTCTTTGGGGACATTGCTGTGTGGAGCAGAGTATTTTTTTTTCCAAAATGTTGTGCCATTATTTTTTTTTTAAAGTTAGAAGGGTTTGAATACTGCAGTTTACATGCGAATATTGTATATAAAAATTAGGACTTTTACCTGCGTCTGAAAAACTCTTATTCCACTATTGCAACATTTTTATCCGGGAGGCTCTTCACAACCTTTGAACAAGTGTGCAAGGAAGATCCCCTTATACCAGGTTTGATCTTGATATAAAGTCATATCCTTTCTACTCCCCTCCCCCCCTATATGTCTAAATGGAAAACCGATTTCAGTCAACCCATCTTCCCTGAAGAATGGGACAATATATGAGATATAACCAGAACCTCCTTGTGCAACACCTTTGTGCTCGAGACAAATTATAAAAGGGTTATACAGATGGTACTTGGCCCCTTCTAACTTTAGGCATTACACCCCGGATAAATTGGACCTCTGTTTCTGAGGATGTAGGGAAATTGGTACCAACTGTCATACATGGTGGACAAGCCCAGTGGCCGACCACTTTAGGATGTATATGATTTTCTTTCAGCATTAATGGAAGTTAATCCTATGGAAGCACTTCTCATCCTTGACTCTTACCAAGAGCCACACTCAACTCCTCCTGCATGTCCTCACGGCAGCCAAACTATGGCCAAGGCCTGGCAGTCAACCTCGCTCAATTGGGGAGATTAAAACAGACTACATAAATTTGTTAATTAAAAGCTCACGGCGAGGTTCATGGATGGCATGAAGAAATTCCATAAAACATGGGACCCATGCAGCAACCTTACTCAATCATCTTTTGATAGCCGACTTTTGGATCTTTGAGTTTTTTCAACTCACTAAAAATTCCCCCCTACTCTGATAAAGGTCACACTTCGAGTTATCATCCAATTTTGTCCGTACCCAGGGTGATCCATCCCTCCACCTTATACCCCCACCGCCTCATTCCACCCCTTTTTTTATCTTTATTCTACCCCTTGATTACACCTCTATTTTTCTCAAATGTTATAGTCTATCCTCTTTCAGACCCTTCTTTGTTATACACACAATTCCTGTTCACTATAGAACCTAAAGATTATTGCTATTCGCTCCAAAAACTTCAACTTGAGTGCCAATTGTAAAGTTGGAAGTTACTGTAAATTGCATAGTCCTTTCTCAATGCCATATCACATTCATTTACTTTGTTTTATTATACAAGACTTTAATTTGACTTTTGTATTCTATGTTCCTTGTTAAAACCCAATAAAAACGTAACAGCAGTTATATACTACAAAAAATTCTTTAATTGTACTTTATGGAAATACATGAAGCCTTTTTCTTTAAATCTCCAATATAGAAAAAGTTAGCATTTTTGTAATATAGCTATCACAACAGATCTATTTGCTAGTGCCAGTTGCAACATTTTCCCAATAACTTCATAATTATTTTACAAAACATTATATAAATGACAATTTGTGTAGCAACCTTCATTCGCAGCTGTATATCACATACAAAAAGGTGAACAAAACCGCTAAAAATCACACACTTAAAATAAAACAATGAAATGTATATTACGATTTGAGACAGATTTTCCAAATTTACGGAATACAAAACGTTGTAAGACTGTGACCTCAACACTTGTTTAAATTGGGCGACACCTGCCATGTGGCACAGTAACACACCGTGAACGTACATTAAAATCAAGTGATTTCATACAACCAATAACAGATGGAAAAGTGTGGCCCACGTGTAGAACACAGGTGATATCCAATGAACAAGAAGCTCAAGGAAAAAAAAAAAAAATCAATCCCAAGCAAACAAAAACGTAAATATATACATATCATAAGACAAAATAAAACACATGACATAACAGTTAAAAAAAAAAAAAAATCCAGGGGACTAATAGAAAAGTATCATAATATAGGCCATCTGGATTACCTAGCTATAAAACTCCTATTAAAAGTTCCCTTTAGAAAGTGAGTAGCCAAGGCTTTGTAATTGTAGACAAAGTACCCCCATAGTCATAACTCAAGTGCCTGATAACAATTGTCTATGGGTTTGATTAGATTTACCCATTTCACCATTGGACAACTGATACCAAGGGAAATCAACAGGTTTTTTTTCCAGGCAGTTGATAGTTTCTCCCTTGTTGACTCTCGAGTCCTCTGGCTGTTCATGTGCCAACTCAAATGACAAACATACACATTCAAGAAAGCAAGTTTATGACAAGATAGCCATTTTACTAAAATCTCCTAGCGGTCACATGGAGTCTGGGCTTCTGACTTCTCTAAAGTCCATATCAAATTTACAGAACATTTGTCGTTCACAGCTTGGCTTGTCAGGCTACAACCGCAGCAATATTATGTTAAAGTTTACTGGTTTTATTTGGGAACAATTCCCACCCACTCTATTGTGATCACTAAGGGATTGCATTGACAACCTAAGGCAACTATGACAAGTATACGGTAACCTAAAATAAGAGCTAATTTAGCTTTGGGTCTAGATAGCATGAACAGGTTCAGTGGTCTCTTAACAGTAAATTATTTTATGAACATATATTGACAAAGTTTGTCAGACAACTTTAACTCTGTTTCAATGTTGGGTCTGTAAGAGTGACCTAAATTTCCCCATGAACTTTGCAGGACAAATGCATAAATCAACAGGAAGAGAAAAATGGCAGTGGAGTGGGAAGAGAGTGAAAAAGTTATGTGAACTATGGTGCATCTTTAGTTTACAGTTAAAATTCAGGTGCTATATACTGCTCAATTAATATATTTTGGAGGGTTTTTTTCCCCTCAAATATCTAAATCCTCATATTGAGATCAACTGATACTCTGAGCACTCCATTTAAATGTTCTGAGTGAGTCTGAAGAAGTGGGTGGGAGGCAGATGTGCTCACACCAACTGCCAGCCAGCTAGGTCCCATATTTCTTAAGTCTACACCTTGTTGGTCCCAGATCAAGTATTTTCCAGCTACTTTCCTCCTCCAACTGGTCTGGCCACACACAATGTCAGAAATATTCAAGCCGATATGAAATCAGTGTGGTTTACAGGATTTTGAATTGCAGGTGGTACTCTTAAAATTGAGAACAGCAGGAGCATGTTATACTAGCCTAGGCTCACTCTGTCCTTTCAAAATATGAGAGAAAGTGTCCTTTAAAACACCGATTTTAATAGTTCAAGTTCTGTAACAAAAGTTTAATTATTGACCCAAGTAACTAATTTCACATGTTAAGGTTTAAGCAAAGACAAATGCATCAAATGCTTGTACATGAAATAAACTTGCATAATGGAATGAAGGATTTACAGGTGATAAGTCAAGTTAGATGTTGCTATCCAGAGTAATTGCAATATTTAATGACTGTTGAATGGAGATGTAACCCAGTGGCAATGAAAGCCTGCAACATAGATCTGTAGTTTAGATCAATAGAGGAAGTGGAAATATAAATAAGAGCATATGTTATATTATTTTTCAAGGTTTGGTAGATTTTACAGCCTTTAAAAAATTAGGGAGACTACCGGAAAAATGAAGACACACTCTTAAAGGTAAACTCACACAATTATACAACATTCTTGCTTTATTACACAGGTGCTCACTGGAAATGGAAATTCATATGAGAACCTACAGCTAGCACAATCACTTTTGCTCATCATACAAGAATAGTTGTGCTTTTCTGAAAGCATGCCATCATAAGAGACTTTATAGGCAGTCAATGGAAATGACAATATAAGCTGCATTGGAACACATCCACATGACAAAAGAAAGTAAAATATGGCTTTCAAGTTTTCAGTTGCAATATCATTGCTGCTACCAGGTCTCCGGGACTTCAAAAAGGGCAGTGGAGCTGTTACTGCATTCTGTAAATAAGAATATGTGACATCAATATTCCCATATATTTGCCATCTAAAGTTTTAAACATTTCCACATACAGAATAGGATCTGACGAATGGCACTTGAACACTACCCCTGATCATGCTCAACTACTGAGAAATACTACATCATGACACCACACCCTGGGCTTATATACCTGCTAAGTATTGACTAAAGATACCAATGTCTATGGGTGTTGGTGTAAGAAATGTAGAATTAAATATGGGCATCCTCCACAAATTTCACCTCTCAAGAGAAACATGAACTACTATATAGTGGAATGCATATTTTAAACACTAGGATCCTTATTGCTGATCTGAATCACTTTTTTAGAATTAGAGAATTTCTTGCTGCGCAACTATACTTCGAGAGAAGTTACATTCATTAAAATTACCTGGTCTAAGTTGCCCACAAGCATCTGTGAAAAGAGCCCATATTTTACCCTAGAAGTACCATCTGATCTGAGGCTGCCATAGCACAATTCCGTTCATTATAAAGTGGAGTCTGCTAAAAGCAGGAGTTCTCAATGAATATACAACATGTCTGTAATTTTAAAAAGGCTTAAAAAAAAACAAAAAAGCTTTACCTGCTGGATCAGTCTCTAATTTCTGACGCTTGTGACTCTTAGTTTTCTTTTTGGCTTCAGATGCTCCAGGATTAGTATCACCTTGATCATCACCAACATCTTCAGAGACGGTTTCTTCTTGTATCGGACTCATACTTCTCCTTCCAACAAGGCTTGTAGCAAAGCTAAAAAGATGTTAATTAAAAGAAAAAAAAGGTATTAGATATTTATCCTCTAGTTGTGATAAGATTTAAAGCAAATAGTCAACAGGCATATATGACTTCTATGTTTTGTAAAGCAGGTGGTGTTAAAGTTTGCTCTAATTTCATAATTCAATCTTATGGTTTCAGGACATCTGGATGATAATTGTTCAAGCTACATGGCTAAAGGCATACATTGTTTTCAAAATCACCAGAGTAGACCTATTAAAACAGCATTATATATGGATATGTGGATGACTGATGGCATCAGAGGTCTTCATCCCGGTTTAGGGATGGCGGTTTCAAGTTTGATACAGACCATGTTATTCACGTGGCTACAAATGCCAATGATATATTCCTGATGCTCATTAAAAATGAATAAGCTGCTTGGATAAAGAGCAAAATGTATGTTATGATAGCAATCTTGTTTTAGATGGCGTAAAGAACCAAACCTTTTTGGTGGTCTGTCTAGCTCGGAAGAATTTACTTTGAAGATATTTCTCTCACTTCCTGTTGCATTTCCCAAGACAAAGTGAGGGGAAATCCCATCTTAGACAGTTGGACAGTTGTTACCAGAATATTTATCCCTATTGGAACAATTATGCTCCCCACTTGCTCTCAAACAATTCTAAAATTTAGGATTTGCCTTTTTGTTTTGTGGGGACAATTGTCACCAGGACATAGGGAGGGTGAGTCATCCCGGCAGGGACACAGATCTTCCACTCTTAACCCCTTCGTGACTGACGACGTACAGTGTACGTCGCCAGCATCGGGGCTGTTATTCGTATATTTTGTTTTATATAATCTGGCCACATATTTGGTCATCTGATCTCTGTTGAATGGATTAGAGAGTTAAGACTGGATCATTCTACCCTTCACTGGAGATCACATGAACACCAAGGCTTTCGCACACAAACAAAAAGATACCGCACACCGCGGATGAAACAGATTTATTGAAACTTCTCCATCGCAGTCACAAGAGGCGTGCAGCTACATGGCAGGGGCGGGGAGGACTTACTTTCTTCTTGCAACCAGAATATAGAAATTTCAATAAATACTTAATTCAGTGGTATCCATGGTGTGCAGCATCTTCCTTTTGTTTGTGCATTAAGCTGGAGTATGGACAAGCTCAATCACCGACACACAGGAGGCTCTTGCAGAGAGGCATTTTACATGGGAATCAGAACAGTGATATCGTTACTGGAATTGTACATGGGCTTTTGTCTTTTGTTGACTTGACTGGCACCAAATGCATCCTCAGCACAGCTTTTTCGCTGAAAATTGTATTTCAACCCTTCTATTACTCTTTTTATACATCCCAGCAAGACAAAACATGCAAGTATAGACCCATTTTGGAGTAAGAGAGCTAGAGTGCACAGCAAGTACAGTGCTAGCTGATTAAGTGGCAAGGTAAATGTACAGGGTGCTTCAACAAAGAATAGGAAAAACAGGGAATATTGACCTGGAGGAAGCTTGCAAATTAGTACAATTTTATATATAAAAGCCAATTAACCTAGTGACAACCAAGCAACTAGCATTTTGGTTATCAGGATGTCAATGACAGACTGTTTCTCAGCACAGGTCTCCTTTAATAACATCCAAAGCCATAAAATACTTAAATGCCAGATTAACAGTACACTTGAAATTTGGCTTTTGGTTACCAGCAAAGCTGTGTAAGGTGTCCAGTCTTTCTGTTTACATTAAACTTTATATAATCAAAGAGGTCTGCACACTGTTCTGTTAGACATCAGGTAGAAACAGACACAATTAGTTAACATTTACTATAATAAAATCTTTGGAATGTATTAAAGTTGGTGTTACAGCGAATGCATGTCTGAAAGTTGACACAGCATTAGCAATATGCAAACCCAGTTAAAAAAACACCCAAAGTATTCTTGTGAGCAAATTGATATTTCAAAAGCAAAAATGGATTTACTATTTTTGACAACTGTTCACCACAGCTGGAAAGGTGAAAAATGAAATGTGTTAAATAAAATTTGTAAAAGCAATATAAAAATTACACTTTTTTAAAAACACAAGCAGGGAATACAACAGGGAAGCATTCCGTACTAATCCCTCAGGAAATTTGCAAACCTCAGGTTTTTCAAGAGATAGCAGGTCTGCTCACATAAATACCAGTGTTATGCTAAGGAAGTGCAAAAAACATGGTTTTCCTGACAAAAAGAAAAAAATCTTTAATTGTGAGACGCCAAAAAGCTAGCTTTCTCACAATAGGATATATGGGTGTTATTATTTATAGATGCTGGCTTTTTTGGGGGGGCAAGCAACACCCAATTTGGTCTTGCCTTTGGCATTTCATGGACCATGGATCAAATTTATGGCACTGTGCTGCCATCTAGAGCTGGATAAAGTGAGCTACACCGGACATAGGACTTAATACTTAAGTGTTAAGGGCAATGCCCACAGGTGGGCTACCAATTTCTCTGAATAAAAGCAGAAGTCCAGGTTCAATAATAATGGGATGTTGACCGGAGGACATCACTGGAACAAAGGACGACTAGAAAAAGACTGCAAGCAGAAGCCATTTTCCTGGGAAAGCGTAATCGCCACGAAGTTCTATTCGATCTGAATTTGTAGGCTGAAGCTAAGTACCTTTAATGTATCCTCTTCTAGAAACCTTTGGGCGCATGTGTATGTATATTGTAGCAACCTGTACATTTGTTTTGTATTGCTTTCCTGTAAGTTTAGTATAAGTGTACATAGCATTTTTGTATAGTAAAGTACGTTACTATTGGGTCAGTTTCCCTTGGCTTTACTACAAGAATCAGACAATAAATCTCTGTAAACGTTTTGCTTAGCATTACAATAGTGTACATGATCACAAAAGAAAATAGAGTCTGGGTAAGGGGGGTGACAAACATTTGTAGAGAAGAGACTCAAAAGATAAAAATTATGCCTATATACACCCAGTCTTTTGTATTACTAGGGCACTACAAGGGTAACAGAAAAATTGTAAAAAAAATGAACTGTTTTAACATCATAATAGGATTTTTGTACTTACAGAACACACAGAAACACCCCACATGGAGACTCAGGGCAACTCAAAGGCACTAAACCCCCCTCCTTCTGACCAAACTTCTTGCCGATAGTCTTGTAGCCCATTCCAGGCTGGTGCAGGACTACAATCTTCTCCCTAATGTCCTTTAACAGCTCTTTGGTCTTGCCCATGGTGGTGAGGTTTGAATGTAAGAGACATTCAAGTGTCTTTTCTATACATGCCGAGTTATCTTTAGGAGCACATTCTTAAATTGACAGGACTAATCCGTCTACCACATACCCAGTCTGTGGGAGCCAGAATTATTGTTGGTTGGTAGGGGATCAAATACTACTTTTACTCACTGAACTGCAACTCAATTTATAACATTTGTATCATGCGTTTTTTCTGGATTTTTGGTTGATATTCTGTCTAATTATTATCATAGGTGTATTTTAAATTATAGAGACCTTACATTTCTTTGTAAGTGGCTAAGCTTCCAAAATTGGCAGGGGGATCAAATAATTATTTTCTCACTGTATATGCCACTTACGGTCTGTGTAGATGGATATGCTTGTTCCTCCATGGATAACGTTCCATCTCATTTCACTGAAGCACTGGTCTGCTGATGTCATGGTGTATAAATGCCTTTACAGGCCGAATTTCATCATTATATGGGGGTGCACTAGATGCCTCAATCATGCAGAATCATGCCACTGTGATATTATGCACATGCAGCAATAAAGGGTGTATTCGTCAATGAGTTGAGTGCCAGTGTCCCATGTTTCCCTACTCCTGAAGGTGGTGCTATACCCATTGGTTAAGAGACTCAAGATCTCCACTGTGTCCTTCAATGAACAAAAGAGGAATTGTAGCCTTTGAGAACACACTACAAAGTCAAGTTAGATTTAAGATTGTTATTACATGGTCCTTTAGTTTTCCACTTAATAAAAATTGATCTTTGCATTAGTACATCTGCAAGCCAGATGTTTCATTTAAAAAGATATAAAGTTCTGTTACATAGGATGAATGCTATTCCCAGTATGGCCTAAAAGTACTATGCAGGACTGCTTGAAAAGGGAAGCGACATGATTAATTACTTCTATAAATGTCCGAGATACTTGGCTGGTCTTGAAGAATTTTTAATTCTTCATTTTATCAGTTTAATCTGAGAGCTGTTATTTTACTTACATTTTTGGGAGAGATATAAAGAAACATGCCGCATAAAACAAAACTTTTCTGACAAAGGAATTTTTTTTTTTTTCATGTGGGTGAGATGTGTAAATGTAGAAGTGTGACCCTGCCGTCTAAGGACACCACTGAGTTACCCATCAGCCTCTAACCACTAGAAATCTAAAGATTTCAGTGACCAATTTCCAGGAGATTTCTAAAACAGCACCCAGTTTATCAAAACTAGGAAGCACAATTCTTTTCTTCTTCGCTAGAACTGTATAACAGTACCTTTGCATGTAACAGAAGAAATAAAGATCAAATACTGTCAGAGGAGGGAAATTAAATTTGAAAATCAGTGCAGCTATGGTGAGGCAGAAAATGTACTTTGTGGTATTTGGTTTTTCCTGAGTTAATGCTAGGGAGGACAACTCTTTCCAGGTTGCTTAGCTCACATTGGTAAATGCTGACAAAGCAATCAGTTTCACCAATATTGCATTGAAATGGAGAAAACGCTGAGATTCAAAGTTTATGGTGCCAGGCAAATCCAACACAACACACTTGTAACATTAAGGTTTCAAAAGCAGGTTGGAAATTCTTGGAAAGATTTTGAATTTCACAGCTACAAATGAGCATGTCATCAAATTTAAACTGAGAAGCCCTGTGTAAAATGATGCACTACCGGGTGCCTTATATATTACTTTTGTTTTAAGCAAGAAAGCTTAGTGGACAAGGGGATGAGTAGATATTAGTCCAGTGACAACATATAAAGTGCGTTCCAGCACGATTCATGGTTGGAACACACCAGATAGCAGAAATCAATCAAAGCCGCGTTCTGGAGCGGGAGCAGTCCAGGCGCTACCGCAAGGCAAGTCAGGCGCTGCAGGTACTTGTCAAAATGCCTGTCTGCTACAAGTACTTGTCAAAATGCCCCGATGTTTGCGCTATGTGTTTTTTTTCCCACTTACCTTCGGTACAGGAGAGCAGCGGCGAGTCAACGCTGGTCCAGTGGGAGGAGCTCCAGGTGGGGTCCTAATTTAGCTGGCCGGCGACTGCCAGAGGATGCCGACACGCGCGGCACCTTCTAAAACTTCATTCAGTTCTGATGTAATAATTAACAACTTCAACTAATCTCATTCCATAGATGATTTATTTAAAAAAGGCCAGCTGACCTCTAATTCTATGCTTACATTACCTACTATGATGAACTAGGAAAGTGTCTTCATTTTGGCAACATTAACCAATAAAAGTGCCAGGACCATCTAGAATCTGCTTGATTAGTCACTGTCCATACACAAAAAAAAAAGAAAAAAAAAAAAGTCTTGGTTCACTCATATCACCCCCCTCACAATCTCCATCTGAAAACTCATGACATCCATGGCAGTCAGAATGCAAACACTACCTTACCACATTACAGGAACTAGATTTATTTTGCAATTATTAAAAAGTCACCTGTTTGTGTAAAAGTCTCTTGGGTTTTGTGGAATGTATGAAGTGTAGTGGGTTTTTAATCTCTTCCTCTCCAGATCTTTCCAGCCATCTTCAGTCCATTTTCTTTTAGTGTGGGAGTCTTGATTCTTTTTTTCAACATATTCAGCATATGTCTGGATACGGTAACTCTCTGCATACTGGCTGGTGTTAACAGCTGAAAAGAAAAAAAAAAACCGAGATGTTCAGATATTTGTGGAGAAATACACACAAAACACACTTATGTATTTCATATACACACTATTGTGCACAAGTTTTAGGCAGGTGTGAAGAAATGCTGTAAAGTAAGAATGCTTTAAAAAAATATATATTTGTATGGTTTATTTTTATCAAAACTTACAAAATGCAAAGCGAGTGAACAGAAGAAAAATCTAAATTAAATTTGGTGCGACTACACTTTGGCTTCAAACCAGCCTCAATTCTTACACCTGACTAATCCTACAAAATCCCTGACTTTATTCAAGTGTTTGATTAACCAATTATACCAAGCAGGTGCTAATGATCATCAATTTCATAGGTAGGTTGAAACAGTCATTAACTGAAACAACTATGTAGGAGGCTTAAACCTGGTTGAGCAACAGCCAAACTCTGCTACAGTTCACAGGTCATACACCCACCGAGCCCTAATTTGAAGATCATCAAGTATGTCTGGGATTACATGGAGACAGTATTTGAGGCAGCCTACATCCACAGAAAATCTGTGGATAGTTTTCCAATATGTTATGAACAACCTACCTGCAGAGTTTCTGTGTGCAAGTTTATCTAGAAGAATTCCTGCCGTTTTGAAGGCAAAGGGTGTATGAATTACAAAATATTGATTTGAATTTTTCTTCTGTTCATTTACATTTCAATTATTTTGTTAATTCATAGAAATTAAACTATTACTAAAAGTAGGGTTGCACAGATAACAAGTACGAGTACATGTACCGATACTTTTGAGCTCCAAGACTAGAGAAAAATAAAAAAATTAGGGAGGCAGCTGTCATTTGTAAGGAGCACACTGAGCTCCTGGGATTTGTACATCTGTTTTAATCTACAATTTTGTTTTTATAAATATAAAAAGGGATGCACAGATACCAGTTGTATGAGTACTGGTACTTGCCGAGTACTTGCAAGTACGAGTACTGATACATTGTTTATTGTCATGCGACAGTTTTTCTAAACAATACAGACTAATGATTTCAGGACAGTGGTGGAGTGCCAAAGCCATGTCCCAGCTGCAACCCTGGTAGTTCTCATGAAAATGCCAAGTATCTGCACTGGTACTCGAAAAGTATCTGTGCATCCCGAACTAAAAGCATTCTTGCGTTACAGCATTTTTTTTTTTCTTCACACAATAGCACCCTTTTCTTGGAGTGTTGTAAATTGAAACCAAATATATAAATGTATGTCAAAGGGAAGGGAGGTAGTTTAGGAAGTGAGGAAGTTAGGTTCTAAGTCTCTCTCATTGACATAATACAGGTAGATTTTAAATTACAGCTCCTTGTGTGAGCTCATGCAACTTTAATATAATGTACTGGTATTTTATTTTGTCAATTTTGAGGTCTGGAACATAACTCCTTTCCTTTGACTTAAATTATATACTGGATTTCAATTTACACCAATTTCTATTTACAACCATTCCCTCAGAAACCTAATCCCAGCGTAAATTGAGGGCATATATTATATAATACGAGTTACCTTGTTCTTGAGATTTAGCCTATATCATTAATTATATCCATAATAATCTTAACTGCAAACTTACATGTTTATCCTTAGTTACAGTGCATGACTGGATATCCAAATATGGCACCTTGCTAATAAGACACCAAAAATTTAGCAAAACATCTACGTGGTGCCTTAAAGCTGAACTCTGGGTACAAAACTCTTAGATATGTTCAATAGCCACAAAGGCTATCCACTTGTGTGCACCAATTGCTTCAGGACAATATTTGTTTAGCCCAGACTTCTGCTTCAAGGAAGCAGAATGGTTGACAAAACTGAGGAACTGGATGACTTTACACTGGCCCATCCCAACTGAAGAGTTTTTGGCAAGTGTGCACCATGTCTCCAAACACGCAAGAGTTTTTCTTTAAATGAGCAACCATTAGATCGTCACATACCTTCCCGATTGCTCACAGATCTAAACAAGCAAGGAGAATATTACTCTTTACATAAAACCAGCAGGTTTACTTTGCAATTGAGCCAGCAGTCTAAGAGATTTGTCATTTTGGAGTATATAGAATATGTCAGTTCTGAGGTTAGGAGGCACAGAATATATATACTTGTTTTATGTGGATGAAGTTTGATGTCTGGTATCAAATCTACATATGCCTGGTA